AGATACTCTGAAGAAGAAGAGACACTAAGAAACCCAATGCTAATTCTGTTGCATTATGATATGAAACCTAGCAATACTATTATTCACTGTACAGAGTGATATTAGTCTAGTCTCTTAAGTTCAATTTCAGCATACGTAAAGATAAGGAGAGCTACTACAAAGAGAATGAGAGACATTACGATAGTCATTATTGACTTCCCCAATGTCAGATTTTAAAGACCGAAAAAGTCTTCATCATCCTGTAATGATTTGATTAGTTCTATAATATGCAGTATGTATTCAATGTGTGCAAAGATGGGGACAACTATTTGGAAGAAAACTAAAGCCAATAAAATAGACAGTGAAGATCTCCAGTGGACTTGCTTTGAAATCTGTATTTCCTTAAATTGTTTCTTTATGAACTGTTTTGTTCTGTTTTAATAGGTTTAATCTTCTCCTCTTTAAGACAAAAAACAAGTTTGTAGGACTGATAACCATATTACTAAACTTTTGTTGGATCATTGAACAGCACTGTTGGCAGTGTCACTATTTGAATGTCACTTTGTATGCTTTAATTTTATAATCTGAACAACTATTTCTAAGATGACAATATGTAACTTATCAACCAGTGATTTCTTAGTGTTTATTTTCTGTAATTCTGTATTATTTCTACCCTTTTCCTCTATTTTTTGTTTTTTTCTCTTTAAATAAAAAATAGAAAAAAGAAAACAACTTCCAACCCAGACTGATGTACCTGCAACAGTATCTTTCAAAATTAATGGAGAAATAAAATACTTCCATGACAAGTGAAGGGATTGATGACCTCCAAACCAATCTTACAAAGAATACTGAAAGACATTCTAGATAGAGATAAATATTACCAAGGTTCCAGGAACATTGGTCTAGAGGGATCTCCTAACAGGGAAGACAGTTGAATGGAGGGGAAAATAGGCAGACAGAGGCAAGAAAATAGCTAGTTAGAGATGAGCCAGCACATGTTGTCTATAATAATTAGTAGATATGTCCTCAATATACTAATAAAAAGAAAAACAGGCAGAATGGATCAGGAGACAAGGTCCATCAATATGCTTTATTCAAGAAACATTTAACTCAAAGGAAAATCCATAGACTAAAAGCCAAAGGAGAGAAAACAATGCTGTATGTGACAGGGAACCAGAAAAAAGTAGAGGTAGCTTGACCATCAACTGCAGAATGGATAAGAAAGATATGGCATTTTTACACAATGGACAGCTACTCAGCTATAAAGAAAGACAACTTCAAGGCTCTTGTAGATAAATGCATACAACTTGAGATTCTGCTCATGGATGAAATGGTTCAGAGCCACATGGGTGAACATTGTGTTGTCTTCCTAGTATAAAAAACTAAAGGAGTTTGTTAGTGAAATCCAAAATGCACAATAGCTATTGTGAAAGTGAAAGTGGAGGAAATGTCTAAAATGGAAGGCAGTGGCCATTGTTAATCTATTATTGTGTTTTGAAATCCTGTATTGTTTCCATTGTTATATTTAGTTTGGTTTTATTCTGTTTTGTTTTGTTTGATTTTATTATATTTGATGGCACGGGCAGCTATTTCAATGATAACAAAATATATTATGGTAGCCATTACTGATTTTTATTATCTTATTTTGAAGTCCTTTGTTGCTTTCATTGTTTTGTTTTGTTTTTTTTTCTGTTTTGTGTTGTTTCATTGTATTATATCTGATGATATAGATGGTTATTTTAAGGATAATAGGAGGCATTATGGTAGCCATTATTGATTTCTTTTTATCTTGTTTTGAAGTCCTGTATCACATTCATTGTTTTGGTTTATTGACTCTGTTCTGTTTTATTTCATTTGGTTTTATTCTCTTCAAAATTAAAAAAATTTAAAAACATGAATGGAAAACTACAGAATCCAATGTGGCAGAATGACAAATAGCACAGAACCTTCAGGAATGAAGATATGGTTTGCCTTGTTAGGTAAGAAACCAACACCCACTGAAGACCATCAGAAGACCAAAATAATACCGAATTGGTTGAGAAGATAATTAAAATATTGTAAATGTGTGCCCAGTAAAAGCAATGTGAACTGCACTTACCCTGATTATTTGTCTTTAATTTTGTTAATGTGCCTGTGCATGTATACATTTGTAATATTTCTTTGATTTGTCTCAGCATACCATGAGAATTCACAACTGATTTAATTGCAGAATTCTGTAAAGTCTATATTATAAATGTGTGATGTGTGCTGAAAAGAAAGCACATCCATGCCCAAATTTTCCTTTTATCCTGTGAAAGGAATGAGTGTATTTCCATTTGCATTCTTTTCTATCTATTGACCATAGGGTACAAATATTTATTGTATGATGTCAGCATTAATTATGAACTTGTAATTTTGTTGGGAGAAATATGGCTTAAGGAAATGAGGAGAACTGTTAAGGTAATAAGGGGTGGAAGGTGGTTCCTAATCTTGCTATGTAAAATTGAATGGATTAAGAAATCCCTGGCAGATTAATAAAACTCCATTCTGACTAATCTGTAAGCTGGGAAACAGGGATGAAGCCCTGTCCCTGGTTACAGTGGCACAAAATAATAGCCGTATATCCTGCATGCAATAAAACAATGAATTATGGAGGAAGTGTGACCATTTTCATTGACTCCCAGAGTTTTTGGGAAATGTGACCATTGCTACAGTCACATCTAAACACTACTCTACATGTATCCAGTGTCCCCGCCTTCCAGTACAGACTCACACTGGTGAATCTCCCATGAGTTTCCAAGCCTTTGATATTGGACAGGTGCTCCAATCATGACCTCCAACTTCTGCTACAGGTTCTATGTTCATTGGCTGAGGAGCTACTAGCTCATCTGGTTCTCCACCATGTGGACATCTATTGTAGATTCTCCTGCTTCTAATACTATAAGCCTGCCTAATAGATCTCCTTGCATAATTATACATAATTTTTTGTTGCTTCTGTTCATCTGGAGAAATGTAGTGAATTCAAACAGAAGAATCATAACCAGAACCAAATTCTTAAGTCCATCTTCTATTCCTTGAGGATAGAAACAACATTTCTGGGCTATATCTGTGGGCTCCTGCTTAGATTTTATGAACAAGCAGCATATTATTCCTAATTCTGCCCTTCTTTCAAAATATTCTGTGATACCATCTGACACTCCAAAAGTATCATTACAGGATGATTTTATTCCATCTGCAATTGGGTTTGGAGTTCACCTGAACACAATCAGCAGTACCCAGTGATTTTCAACTCAATAATATCAACCTCTTGTATTGTCAGTGATGGGTATGACCCTTACCTGAAATGAAACCTGGGTTAGAAGAGTTGGTATAAATATTTAAAAATTTTTTTATTTTATAGAAAATAAAACAAAACAAACAAAACCAAACAAAGCAGAGCAGAGTAACACAATGCAAATAACACATGATTTCAGGAAAAGACAGCAGGAAATCAACAGTGGCTACCATAATGTCTCTTGTTTTCCTCAAAACAGTTGTATGTGGTATAAATATTTTTAAAAAGTCATTTCTGGCCCAAACGTGAGTCAGACTGAGGAAAGAGGTTATTATAAGTTCATGTTTTACATTTATCTATTGTAGTCAGAGTTTGCAAGTAGAGATTTAATTCAGGACACATAATTAATAGGATTGTTGTATAACATTCACACAAAAGTCAAACACAGAAGCGTGCGGGAGATCTTTCCACACACTAAAACTCAAAGATACTAGCTGAGGGCCTGGATCCTGTCGAAGTGTCCTGCATGAGTTCAGCCGGAGGCCCAGAACACACAATAATGTCTCTTGCAAATCTCTATTAAGGAATATTCACGGTGAAGGCCCAAAGGTCAGTGGTGGAAGCTAGAAACTGTGTGCCAGAGGGGCAAAAATTCTGTGCTAGGAAACTGAGGAATCTATGCAGGAGCCAGGAAGTGACACTCCAAGTCAGGACTAGAGTTTTCCCAAAGAGAATACAGCCATCCCCAGAGACCATTGTCTCTGAGACACAAGCTCCTCTGATAAGACACATATCAGGAAAACCAATGTGACAAGCTTCTTCAGGAATATCAAAGGCATACTATTCTCCCCTCTAGTTCTTCTTTTATGTTGTTGGCAGAAATCCTCAGGTGGGTCTTCCACAACCAAAACCACACTGATTCAGTTCAGCTGGGTGTCACAAACTGACCAAGATTTAATGCACTACATTATGAAATGAGTCAAACTTAAGGGCAGACTTTATAATCTCTGTATGTCAAATGAAGATTTAAAAGATGATATAATTACAATATAGGAGAATGAGAAAGTAGGGCTGGTTTAAAAAAAAAAACACGTACAAAATGAAGTGGAAAACCCCAAGTTCTGCCCTGATCCTTGTTAGTTGTATACACTGCAAAGTAGGAAAAAAGAGACCCTTGTTGCTTCATTCATGACTATTTGCCAAGGTACAAATAAATTTATTATGTTGATCTTTCTTTTTCCTGATTGTGTCTACAACCTTCCTTGAATATAGTTACCAATTAAATATATGGAGGGGAAACAACAGTCTTCAGAAACAGGTGATCTTTAGAAACAGACAATCTTCAGAAACAGCATTAAGGCTTTTATCTAAATGTGCCCCCAAATCCTCATGCAGTTATAGGTGGGGCTTTTAAGAGGTGGCTGGATCTATGGTGTGTGCTGCTGGGATCAGGGATGTGATATTGAGATTGATTCATGGTGTGAAGCTAGGATAAAGGCTGCCCACACTGGGTATGAGTGCTACCTGCCATAAATGTGGACAGGTATAAATATAAAATATAAAAGACAGAAAAAAGGTTATCATTTGTAGTATGCTGATTTTTGTCTTCTGCTTGCCCAGCTTTTCCATAAATGTTTTCTCTTACATAATGCATCCTTGCTGTTAACCTGTTTTGGAGTCAGCCAACTATGAACCAAAATCCCTACAAACTGTGAGCTAAACATGATTCCTATCTTAACTTTGTGTGGCAACAAGAAAGATAGTGACATTAAGAGTACATGATCAGCTTACCAAAATTGTTCATCTTTGGGCAGTGTGCGAAAAAAAGTATGGTGAAATGTGGGTCTCTGCAGATGAGTATAAATGGATTGAAACATGAGAAGCTGGCAGCTAAAAGTGCACTCGTGTCTACCAGCCACTGACAGGGTTTATCCAAGTGAGATATGTAAGAAGTAAAGAATGAAGATAGGGTGTATACAGAGAAAAATGTGATTAATAGAATTAAAATGGTCTGTGTGGCTCTGGTCTCAGCAGAGGATTTGGAAGAGAGGTTCTTGCTGTGAATATGTAGGACATTTTGCTTGTGTCTGTACAAAATGAGCATCATAAAGACACTGCTCCACACCATAAACCCCAAAGACAACACATCAATGGAAGACAACATCACAGAGTGCAATAAGGATGTCACTCTCTCACTACTCATACTGGAGCAGTAGCCAAGGTCTCTATCATGTGTGTAGCTGTTGTTTTCCTTTGCACCTCTCATATACAAAGGAAAAATACTATTTACCATCAGTTGAAGAATCCAGCAGAAGGTAATGGAAAATCTTGTGCACTTGAGAGATTTGACCTTGAATCTTATCCACTGGCAGCAATTAGGACTGATTGTGATGGACTGGAAGCCACTCAAGATACAGGTAGTACCAAGAGTCACACCCCGGGCCACCCTGTGAAGATAGAAGACCAATTTACACCCAACATCACCCATAGAGAATTGCAGCCCCAAGGTTAATATTGTGTGAGGGACTCCTTTGGAGAGAAGAACCAAACAGTTTGCCAAAATTAAATTTTTGAGAATCAAATCCATGTGTTTTAGCCTTCGCTCAGGGTAGGGAATGAAGACATAACAATAAAGGAGCAAAATGTTTCCCAGGATTCCAATTCCTGTCTGAACAACAAAGAAGATTCTGATCACCATGCTGTTGAGTAACATGCAGTTATGTGACCAACAGTTTCATTCAAAGTCAATAAATCTTGGGAGTAAAGGTCCAGAAGTGTTTCTGCAAAGCAATTTTAAGTCCACAGTTAGTAGTATCTATTATTTCCCAACCCCATATAATTTCTCCAAAAATATATTTCTTGTATATCTTTCAAGATTCAACTAGAATAGTGTATATTTTTATTGTTATTTTGGGGTTTTAATGTTTTATGTTGTCCTTATATAATATGCTATTATTTGTTCTATTTCTGTTAAAACATACTTCTCCAGGGGATTTAGCTCAGAGGCATAAGTGCCTGTCTGAAAGTGTGAGATTGTGAATTCGAGTGCTAGTACCAAAAACCAAAAACCAAACCAAACAAAAACAAACAAACCAACAAACAACCCCCCCATACTTCTCCACAGTCTTTTAGTCAAATATTTTAAAAATTATTATTATGGAGAAAAAGAAAAAAAACAGAAATAGGGTACAAGTTATACAGAATTTCAGAAAAAATAATAGGAAATCACTAGTTAATAGATTACATACTGTTATCTTAGAAATAGTTGTTGTTCAAGTTACAAAATTAAAGCATATAAAGTGGACTTTCAAACAGTGAGACTGGAAACAGTTTTGTTCAATGATCCAACAAAACTCAGTGATATAGTTATCTACTTTATACACTTAAATATATATGTGGTTATATTCTTTAGAGCACTTTCTTTTCCTTTCCTTTGTACAATTACAATTACACATTTTGGATTTTATTACTCCCACAGTTCTTATTAATTTTTTGAAGAGAGTAAAACCAAATGTGACATAACAGAACAGAGTCAGTCAAATCAGAAGGATGAATATAATAGATAATGTAAAAACAAAATACTAGGTGATCAACAATGGTTACCATACTGCCTCTTGCTATCTTAAAAAGAATTGCCTATATCATCAGTTATAATAAAATTGAACAAAACAGTGGAGAATAAAACCAAAACATTGGAGACATTACAGGGCTTTAAAAGAAGATAATAGTCAACCAGAATGGGCATCATAATGAATCTTATTGTCTTTACAGTTGTTGCCTATACTTTCGAACTTGGTACTATCAAGCAAAGCAGAATGGGGGAAAATCAGTCAAAACAAGATGGTGAGGGCTATACAGGGTTTCAAATCAAGTTAATAGGAAATCAAAGTGGGTTACTATAATGCATCCTGCTATTTTTTATTTTTCTCTTAATTAAAAAGAAAAATAAAAAAGTAAATAATTAAAAAAAGAGACTGAGATAAAAGAGGGCATAACAACAAAATAGCACAGGTCAAAGCATAACCATTTAATCAAAACAGTGTTTCACCACAAGACATCTCGACATAAAAGTAGTGACCATAATGACTCTTTCCTTGAAATCTTTGAGTATAACTTTGTATACTATAGCACCAAACATATCAAGATAATGTAAAACCACTCAAGAGAATGACAGTATTACAGGGTATTTAGAACCAACTATCAGAAAATGAACAATGGTTTCTGTATAATCTCCTTGTCTATAAAAGTTTTTGCTTATATTATCACATATAATAAAATCCAATAAGATACAACCTTTTAAGACCAATGAAGACAAAAGAATAAAAGCTTGATGGGACTTCAAAACAAGATGATACTAAATCAGCACTAGCTATTATGATGTCTTGTTTTCTCCAAAATAGCTGTTCCTACCATCCAATCTTCTCTGCCTCATTTCTGTTGAGCTCTTTTTCTGTCATTTGTTGTCAGTTTGTCTTCTTCGTTTTCCTTTCTGCTCCATTCATTGTGGCTTCTCTGCCACCGTTTCTGAAGTCTTGGTATTTTCCTTTTTTAGAATATCCTGCAGTTTTCTCTGTAGAGTTGAACTGATGGTTGCAAATTCCCCTAGTTCCTCTTTATCCTGGAAGCACCTTGTTTTTCCATCAATTTCTAGGGACAGTTGTGCAGGTTATATCAATCTTGGCTGGAGGTTGTTATCTTTCAAAGCTTGAATTATTTCCCCCCATGCTCTTCATGATTTGATGGTTTGTGCGGGAGAAGTCTGCTGTAATTCTGATGGGTGTTCCCTTGTAAGTGATCTGTTTCTTGTCTCTGATGGCTTTTGGTATTCTGTTCTTATATTGGATTTCTGGAATTTTGATTATTATATACCTGGGTGTAGCTCTGTTTGGGTTGTAGGTGGCTGGGGTCCTGTACACCTCATACATCTGAGTATCTTTACCTTTTGCTAAATTAGGGAAATTCTGTTGGATTATTTCTGTGAATAGCTTTTGTAGTCCATTTGTTTGTGCCCCTATTTCTTCTTTTATGTTCTTAATTCTTAGGTTATAGATCCTCTTATCATCTTCTAGCCTTTGTATTATTGCTGTTTGTTTTCTTGTTATTTTTAAGAAGTTTTTCATTTCATGCTCCCATATTACAAGTCTGTCCTCCAATTCAGATAATCTATCCTTAGTTTCTTTCAAGCTGATATGCCAGCTTTTGATAGAGTTTTTAGTTTCCTGGTAATCTCTTTGAACCTGCTTCACGTATTCTATGTTTTCTCTATTTTCTCCATCAAATAATTCTCCCCGTTTATTCTGTTCTTCCATTCCACCATCTGCTTTTTCTTGGGTGGTGCTTAGCATTTCTCTAACTATTCTACTTATATCTTGCTTTATTTCATTAAATATTTCATTTTTAAACTCGTCTATGAGGCTCTGGAGATATCGCTTTATGTCTATTGGTGCCGTGTCTGATATTGCACGTTTTCAGTCTTCCTTTGTGTTTCCCTTTCCTGGATCAGTGTTCTCAGTATTGGGGACTGAGGACACTTTCTTGTTGCTTCCTCTTCCCATACTTTTTGTTCCTTCCATACAAGCTAATGTAGGAGGCCCAATTTTTTTTCCCTCTTTTTCGGTTACAGTTTGTTTGAATCTGCCGGCTAGGTGTTCCCGCCCACTGCAGTATACTAGAGAGACACAGATCTGGGCAGCCTCTGCTGGGCCCATCCCTCCAGGTCAACCTACTGAAGGCTTCACCACTAGGGTGCACCTCCAGGACCTGGGACCTGGTTTGGGCTAGCCTACTGGGTCTTAGTCACTGGCATCATGCAGGCCAGGCATTCCCCACCAATCCCACTTGAGAGGGGAATATGTGACTGAGGTAACTGCAACACCCTGCTCCAGCACATCTGCCTGGTCCCAGTATGTCCTTTGCTGGAGCCTCCTACTCTATGAAAGGGTCCTCATTCTGCTCACTCACTGCAAGTCAATGTAGGGCTCCCTGCTAGTCCTGCTCTCAACTCGGTTCACAGGTTCCTGCTCTCAGAGCTTTCACGTGTCTCTCTCCCTGCCCTGCAGATTTGGACACAGCAGCGGCAGCAGGAAACTCAAATCACAGCTTCCAGTGGTGCGGGCTCTAGCTTCCATGCTGAGATTTTATCTGTTCCTGTTATAGCACCAGGATTGGATTTCCAGCTGGTTTCTCTTAGCTTAGTTCATTCCTGGGTCGGCAGGGCATATTTCCCCTTTCTTAGGACTCCTCGTACTGCAGAATTCCTGGATTCTAAGCAGGTATCTCAGAGAGCCTCCATAGCTGCTACTATCTATCCACCGTGTTCTTCCGGAAGTCTCTCAAATATTTGTTTGATGACTCTAATTATTCTGTTAGTCAGTGTCCCATTTATGTGAAGTCATGAGTCTCAATTACCACCTAAGTTATCTACTTTACAGTTAACAAGTAACAATAATTTTCATAAGCAAATTTCAGTATTTAAATGTAAATGCAATTCCAGAATAGGGTGGTGAATTTGTGGAGTCAGTCTTTACTTCATTTGCAGCAAATATACAAAGATATCAAGCATTTACTTAAAATCCTAAATCTTATCAAAGCAGTTATGGCACAGAAAATAAAATAAAAAATACTTTAAATAAAAATATTAAATTATTTTTTACAGATTATTTAATTGCCTGCATTTTACATTTAATATAATTAATGATTGTCAAACTCGTATGTGACAATAATTACATTACATGTGACAATAATTACATGTTATATAGTTTAGCATTGAATAACATAAAATATATTCAGAATTGTTATTTTAAAACATTCTTAAATTTCTATAATAAGAGAATTTAGTAGTTACCAAAAATACACATTGCTGAAACCATAATAAACATCTATAAATAATATAGTTCATTGATAGAACACTTGATCCCTTGATAGAACTATTTAAAAAATATTACAAATGGTCACTAAAATGGCAAATGACTGAAATTTTTAAGGAATAATTAAACATCAACAAGGAGTCTATGTTATCATTTATCAAATTTATATTTTAAAATTTGATGTTAATGCTAAATACATAGTTTAGTCACAAAATTCAGTTCCCCAACAGAGTTCACAACATCCCCAGGTCTGATGGTGGAAAGGATACTTTGGAGATGCTTCACTAGTGAGAAATGGGAGAGGCTGGATCTCTGGAAAGATGTAATGACAATGGAAAAGTTAAGATAAACACGTTTTCCAGATAATTCAGAGTCCTGTCAAAGTTAACTATGCCTATGCTAAACAAAGCCATTTTAGAAGTCACCCACAAGTGTGACAATTTGATTGACTCAACACAAATTGCAGTGTAAATTTCAGTGGGAGTGGTTAAGGTCCCAAATTTTGAAGTGTTTACTGAAAAAAATACAATGTATGTCAATTTAGACACCTCTCACTTTCCAAAATTTTACATTGTGTCTTTGTAGTTTTTAATTTTCTTCCAGCCTTTTTCATTGACTGTAATGTATATTGGCACTGTTACATCTTTACCTTTGTATACTACAGAGTTTAAGTATTCTTTCCTTAGCACTACATGCAAACACAGACACACAAACACACATGCACACACATACATGAAATTCAACTCTTCACCAAACAGCTTGAAAAAGTATCATGAAAGCCATGGAAATCTATGAGTTTGGAAAATGAAGGAGTAGAATTTTAATAAACAGACTAGAGGAATGGATT